TTTGTTCCTCTTGGTAACCAGGAGAGTAAACGAAGTGGTGACTTATAACGTTGGGGACTTTTAAAATTATCCACTCTAACAGACACTGGACAATGTTAGATGTTAGTTAAAGAAAAAACACATAGTGATTTCCAGAGAATTTAGCTCAGCGAGTGCATGACTTTGTGCTGAGCAACACAATCTGATTGGTGGAAAATCTTTAGAATATCTACTTGTGGCATAATTTTTCACTGCTGCAAAAGTTTTTAAATGTTTGTTTAAATTATTTAAATGTAACGCTGCCCTGTTAAAGGATTTAAACACATATGCAAGGCAAAATATTATTTTAACAGTAAATAAGTCCTAAAACCCTTGACCACAAGTAGAAATAACCGGAGATAGAGATTATAAAGTGAATTTAATGAATGTGATGTAGGATACAGTTCTTTTAAGTTACTATAATTAATAAGAGAGAGTGGAGCACAAGCTAACACATTTAGTTTTTTTTTATAATAATTTTTTAAATATTTGGGAAGATTAATAATGGAAGATTAATAATGTGTTTACATAATCAGTCTACAGGTCTTTGTTACAAATTAGAGCGTAAAGTTTTCAGCAATCATGTTGGAAGTAGCAGGAGTGGAAATGTTATTTTTTTGGAGCCCTTAGGAACAGATTGAGGGGCTAATAGGAACAGACTGAGGGGCTAGTTGTAATAGTTGCTATATGTGTGGTAATTAATACAAGCCACTATTAATTCCATGCAGCGGAGTTAATAGTGGTTTGTTTGAACATTGTTTGAATATTGTTAAATTGTGTTACCTGTCTCACAACACCCTGAGCTCGTCATATTCAAACTAAGACATCATCATGATAGGCTTCTGACACTCACTGACGTTCAAAAATGTAACTCCCATTTTCTCTGTGATACACTCTGTGACAGAGCTGCTCCGTCACATGCTCCTAACAGTAGTCACCGGTTTTCACTGGTAACACTGACTGATTTTCATATATCTGTTTCCTATTGTTACTCTGGTAGGCCTCTAACAGTAGTCATCAGTTATCATTGGTTAACTCCGTAAATGGCCACGCTCAAAGTTTTATTACACACTTCTATAACCTAAGAACAGCTCAGCCAGTTTGCATTGAAGTCCATGTAGTTACTGAATAATAAGCCTTAGTATGTAATAAGCCTGGGATTTTAAGGGGTAAATCTAAATACTTCTATCCAATAAACAGTTTCTTTTTTCTTTTTCTCTATATTCAGTATTTTATATGAATTGAAAAATCCTATCCTCTGTTTATATTGCTCTTGTTGTGTTTTATTTTGCTATTTCTGGATTTGCTATCCAGTGTCAACCAAAACATGATGGGTTCCCCTTTCGAGTCTTGATTTCTCTCTCATCTTATTCTTAGAGAGTTTTTCTTGCCTACCTTGGATTTTCTGTAAAGCTGCCATATATACATGCACACATATTTATATATAGTTATATAGTTTGGAAAATTTGTCAAGTCAAAGTTTATTTACATATCTTTCTGTCTATCTATCTATCTATCTTTCTATATATATATTATCTGTATATATATATATACAGATAGATATTATATATTCATATAAATAAGAATGTATTCATCAAAATAAATAAGATTAGGTGATCAGTTAAAAGAGGCTTTGTAGCAAATTTATCTGATGGTATCAGCAAACATAAACAAATATCATAAAATTGAAATATATATTTTTTACATTACATCTATATGTTTCTGATTAATCTGTCAGTTTCACTTTCATTGTTTGTTTTGGGAGGCTTAGTTGTAACACTGTGTTCACTTACAACTAACCCTGCCACATGGAGGCTGTACATTAACCTGACTATCTTTTACAAAGTTGTTTGCATTCTTCAAAACAGTGTTATATTGCAAGCACCAATTAATCAAAATAATAAAGGTGTGAATTCTGTGATTTATACACACAATTTTGTGATCGAACATTTCTGATGAAAAAAAGATACTTTTATTGTACAAAAACAATCCTCTGCGCAAATCTCTCAAAATATCTGTCAGATTGTTGTAAAAACTGGCAGATGTGTTGCTATGGGAATACATGACTAAAAGCACACACTACTTTTTAACCACATAAAGAATACACTACATTTTACCCCATGTTCGTTTGAGCTCTGCTCTCCCTACTGAAGTGCTTGTTCACTCTTCATCATTCTCAATCATGATCAAAATGGCAGCAGAAACTGTATAATGACAAAACCTGTCACTTTTCTTCACTGATGTGGTTTTACCTTAAATAGAAAGAACTAAACAGAACAGAAGGGCTGGGCTGTATTGCATGTGTAGAGAAATATTTTGTTGCAGGTCCCTGAAATCGTGTCATTTTCCATTCCATTTAAAGTATTGCTATGTATTTGCAGGAGGCAAGGGAATTTTCTGAGAGAAAGACATTTGAGAATGCACTTATCAGTAAAGAAGGTTAGTTAGCTAGTTTAAACATTGTGATTGCTTCTCTGTCAATAACCAGTAAGTAAGACATACTCTACAATCTGGCTCCCTGTTGGCACACAGTACTGTCTTACTGACAGATAAGTAAGATAAGAGTGTGTGTGTGTGTGTGTGTGCGCGTGTATGTGTGTCTCCACTCTGTCTACTTATCTTGGCTGATTCCCCTCCAGAGGAGAGAAAGAGAAAGATGGAGAGATCACTCTGATGAGTGTCTGGGTGTCGTTTTATCATTGCTGGACAGCTCACCAAGCTTCAGGAGCCAGTTCGACGCCTCCTTACAAACACACACACTCCGGAGGGCCTTGTGTTTACTCTCCTAATTGGAGGGGAGGGTTCCAGTTGATGGACAAGCCCTCCAAGATTCCCAACTGCTCAGAGCGGCTGGCAGCCTGAGGCTGGGATAGCGGAGGAGCACAGGCTGGGAACGGGACGGACACGGCAGGAACATGGTGGGGGGGGCATAGTAGGGACGGGGTGAGAACGTGGTGGGAACGTAATGGAAACGTCCAAGTGTCAGGAGGGGAGCCCCGACAGACAACATCCACCAGCCGAAAGAGATATTAAAGAGTTGAGAGGAACTGGCAATGTCAGGATCAGTGCAGATGTGTGCGTGTGTATGTGTGCTTGTTTTCAGACACTTTCAGGACAAATATGTTCCATGTTTTACTTGTTTAAAGATGAAATGGAAAACCTTGTTTGGTACTGAGATTAAGATGAGGATTATTGTTATTTTTAGTAAGTATGTACATAATTTCATATAATACATTTATGTATAAAGCCATGTATCTGGGCATTTAGTTGTTCAAAAAACAGAATAAAGACAACAAATAATGCATTGCCATTTTATACAGCAGCATAAGTACTTATTCATAATGCATCTCATCCATGGTTTCCAACAGATCCTTCGCAACCTACAATATGATATATTCATTAATTGTAGCTTAAATGCATAATCTAATATAAACATTTAGGTTAATGTTTATGCTTGTGAGTGGAGTGGCATGCCTTAAAGACATCAACTTGTTTGAGACACAACAGTAATCATTAGACAAGCAAATTGTATGTTTTTTATTCATTGGTAATTGTTAACTAATACTTTTTGTAAAGGTGTGTTTTTTTCTTTTTTTCTTTTTTTTTTCTTTTTCAATGAAGCACATAATATCTTAGTTATAGCACTGATTTTGTATCTGTTAGTACATTGGTTTAACCATTTCCAAGCCTCTCCTTAAGGAAGGCCAGTTTCCATTCAATATCCAGTTCAGCTAATCAATCCTTCATTAAACTAAATCGGGAGCTGCTGATGGAATTTAACCCCTTAAATGGCCAATGCCCAAAGTTTTATTACACATTTCTATAACCTAAGAATAGCTCAGCCAGTTTGCACTGAAGTCCCTGTAGTTACTGAATAATAAGCCTTAGTATGTAATAAACCTGGGATTTTAAGGGGTTAATAAATCCATGCAATAGCTGCCCAGCAAGAAGTCAGGAACTTAACCTGTGTTCTTCTGACTGTTCTCCTCTAATTGACATTTTAGTAACTTTATTGAAAAAGATTTTTTTGCTAAGTATTCTAACATTAGATAATGTTTTACTAGCAAAAACGTATTTGCTTCCTAGATAAATGGTTTTCATTTTCTTGTCTGCCTAAGACCTTTACACAGTACTGTCTGAGAAAGGATAGAGAGAGAGAGAGAGAGAGAGGTTTGTGTATATGTGTAAGTCTGTGTGTGTTGGGGGGGGTTATATTTTGGAGACTGATAGAGGGTCTGCGAGTGTGAGTGCCAGAGTGTCACTCAAAACAAAGTGGGGTTTGGACAGGGCACAAACAAGGAATGCTCAACCCACATGGGGGCTCGTCCTCAGCTCACACGCTTTTCACACTGGATGGAGGGTTAATTATATCACATAATTAAAAGCACGATGGTGTGGCTCTGTGTGTGTGTGTGTGGTGTGTGTATGCATGTGTGTGAATTTAAAATGTGAGACCGCCGTGAGGGAAACAGATGATGTTGATTAGCTACATCTTTTTATGTGTTTTAATAGAATAAATAAAATAACAATAATAATTAAGCTCAGCTTTTTTTACAACAGCTTTATAGCACGTTTGCAGTTATTCTCACAGCCAGCTCCTTTACTAATGCACACCTCCAGAGCTTACAGCACATTTCTTTTCCTATCTTGAGCCAATATGTTACAATTCCACATGTTATTCAAAAACAATGACAATAAAAAGAAATTAATGACAACTTCCGTACATGTTTCTCAATATTGGGGCACAGATGGAAGGATAAAATCTCTTTACTTCAGCATGTTCATGACTCTGGTGCTAAAAAAAACATCTTAGCCCACAAACCTCTAAAGGAGATAAAGGTAATTAGCATACTGTGTATGGCTTTATAGACCTAAATGTTTAAATGTGTCGCTGCATGTATGTCTAAAGAACACACATACTGTACACATACACACCTCTACCTCTAAGGTTGAACCAAAGAAAGAAAATATGACCACAAACATAAATAGCCATTTCTTGTGCACACTTGGTGAATTTATTATGGGGATTTCACACAAAATCTCACAATGTAACATTTCTTAAACGTGATCTCAGGGCCTCGAACACTACAATTCAAATCCAGGGGTTTAGCAAATATGCCTGAACAAATCCAGCCCTCTGAGCTCCTGTGCCTTTGAACTCAGAGAGAAGGGTGATCTCCACACTGCAGGGCAGGTTCTACCACACACGCACTCAGCACAGCAGCACGGACAGCACTGAGAGAGAGAAGGAGGGTCAGAGGCTCACAGATCATAATAATAATAATAATAATAATAATGATAATAATAATAATAATAATAATAATAAAAATAAATAATAGTTATTATTATTTTATTAATATTGTTGGTGGTGGAGTAATAATATGATATAAAATTATTATAATAAAAATGATAGTACTGTGCAAAGAAAGAAAGAAGCCAGAAATCATTTATTTAGTTTTCATCTATTAAATACAATTTATTTGCGTATCAGAAGAAAAGCAGAAATCCATATTATTATAATGAAAGAAGTAAATTCACTGGGTGGACATTTGGATGTCTTGACACCTCATCTATGTTCCCTCACAGAGAGAGAGAGGGAGAGAGAGAGGGAGAGAGAGAGAGAGTGTGTGTGCTGTCCTTGTATGTAGAGTGAAGGGCTCACTTTACCTCCTCACGCTGCTGATATGAAGTGTGGACTGTGTTTTAATTGAATCCGGTTGTTTGTCACTTGGCTCCTGTGCAAACAGCAGACAAACAATTACTGCAGTGATTAATAAATGCTGCATATTAGCAATGCAGCACCCGCTCAGCCTGCACACTCCTATTTCTACTTCCCTTATAGGACACACAGTGACCTGCAGCCCACCCACCGCCCCATTCTCCCTTTAAAAAACTGGATGGAAAAAGACTTTTTCATTGTCTTTGAGAGGAAAGTAGAGAAGTTGTGATTAAAACGTTCAGTGAGGCAGTTAGTAAAATGCCATGTCCTCCTGTAGATGTATTAATATTGATTTTGACCAGTGGCATTAAAATCTATATAAATAAATAAACATACACTTGTGTGTCTATTTATTTACAATAAAAAAATACTACACAGGCACTTTTTGTAGATACATTATTATAATTTTAATTATAATAATTACATTAAAGAGTGATCACTATATAGTTTATTTCACACAAAAAAGGGTGGTCAAATTTATAATAGCAATTCAGTGTTAATATAAAATTGTATGACCATTTTAAACTTTGTTAAATTTATATTACTTTAGATGAGGATCTGCAGAATAAACACATCACTAGTAAAAATCGAGTGATATTTGCTGAATGTAATCGTAGCCTATGTCATAACCATGTAATAAAGCTCTGTCAAAGATCCATTAGGTTTGTAACTCAGTATGTTATCACACCATTTACCGCCTGCATTTCAAACTGTTCACCAGAAATCTTAGTTCAACTGAGTTAAAATAAATGTTTAATCTCTCTCTCTCTCTCTCTCTCTCTCTCTCTCTCTGTGATCTGTTAAACTGTATTGTGAAATGCGGCTCCATTCTCCTCACTCTTTCCGTCTTCCTCTCTTATTTCCTGTGGCCGTGACGCGTATCGTTTAACCTGGTTTAAGTTGCTCTCTGTGCTCGCTCGTACCTTTACGGGCCGCGAGGGAAATTAGGAATGTCAATAAGGATCAAACGGGCTCTTTTATTCACACTAATTACTCTGTGCAAATACACCTTCACGTTCAAGTGCTTCTCTCATTAAAGCCGCTCCTCTCTGATACGGCATTTCAGCATGTCACAATTATGATACATACAGTATCGCACACTGCATTACAGCCGCGTCTCCAGCGC